TATATATATATAGTGAAAAAACATTAGATTCTAATTGTTTTCGCGATCAAACGGGGATGTACCCCCTTAGGTTTATCCCCCCTCCCCCCATCCCCCCTTGGTAACCTGGGTAAATAATATGTATTATAAATAGTTGTTGTACGTTTTTTAACTAACATAATTGACAGCAATATAATATATATATTAAGATGTTTAATGATTTTTTGTAGGTTTTGGAAGTGGAAAATGGATTGTATATAGTCTGGTTTCGATGTCTATATTCAGTGCTATATTCATAAGTTTACTGTGTGTATTAGTCTATAAGAATAGAAATTTGCGTTATAATCACAGTGATATAGATTGCATTGCGTCTGTAATTGTAGAATTGAACGACACTACTCTACAATATACGAATATAGGATATTACCAATATGCCTGACAATGACGAAGATGTTGAAATTGAATCTGAAAGGATATATACTTCAAATCACTCCGATACTGATATAATTCATCTTGAAGAACCAAAATATCTACATGCGTATCATTCTCTTGTTACTGATATTGATACTGAAAGACATGATCAACAAATCAAAAATACACAATAAGGATGCCCATGTGTATGACAATACCGGTAAGAGTACAGATTCGATCTGTTCCAAGCCGCCATCAGGAAACAGAACATTAAGAAAAACGTACTGATGTATACGATAACATTTACAATAAACATTACGATAATGTAGATAGTGCAACAACTAAACATATAGAGCAACAAGACCCAAACAATCAACTTGCATCGACCAGAACTAGTATAATAAATATTTCGCCCAATGTTCATCAAATCGATGACAATATATCTTTGGACTACCAAAAAATATAAACCATTTTCATTTAAACATTTTGAATGTTTTGCAGGTAGAAAATGTAATGTAGATTTATTCATTTTCTAAAATCTAAATTTAAGTGACATGTTTTGTTATCTCATACTTTGCTTGGATTAAATTTTTTTATCGTAATTAAAAGGTTTTGATTTGATTTGATTAAATCCTACAAAAAATTCAAGAGCATTATTTTTCGCAGCTTACAGTTTATTGTAAACAAAAACAAAAAATCAACTAAAAAAAAAATATTGTTTTATTTTAATAATTATCAAAACTGTTCATAACTATCAAAATCAGAATTAAAAATTATTTATAGAAAAAACACCAAGCAGGTCTTTGTCGATGTCAAAATATACTAATCAAACGTTAATGTATTCTATTATTCTTAAACCCATTGGTTTATGTCGTTTTCCAGCAGACGACTGTTGTTACAGTAACTGGATTTAACGTCACCAATGAGGGCCGTACATTGTATTCCACTAGGTTTTGTTCCTAGCTGAAAAAAGATTAATCAGAAATAAAAAACGTGGATATTTTTACAACATGTAAAAAGAAAATAATCAGGTTATATATATACATCACAAATATAAGCGTTTCAATGTTTGCGAAAAACTCTCGTACCAGTGCAACTATTTGTATATTTATGATTGAAAACTTTCATAATTTTGTCGGTGTTTTATTTTTTCTATTGCAAATATAAAAGTAAGAAGATGTGGTATGATTGCCAATGGGACAACTTTCCACAAGATACCAGAGACCAGAGACCAAATAATACAGAAATTAACAACTATAGATCATCGTACGGCCTTCAAAAATGAGCAAAACCAATACTGCATAGTCATATTTTGTACTTTGAACTAACAATTGATATTTTGGAATTTTGTAAAAAAAAAATATAGCAATCAAATAGCAATTGGCAAAGATTATGTTTCACATAATTTATTCAGGGTTTGAAATGTATGTTTCCTAGATGCGGGATTAAACTTGCATCTTTAAAAGGGGCATTAGCTACGAACTATAAAAAAAAATAAAGACAATTTTTTTTTTGTTCAATCGTTAATGAAAGTGAAATAGTGAATTAATAATTAGCTTTTAGCAGACAGATTGGTTCAATTTTGTCAAAATAAGATACGAAATATCGTTGATAAATTAATCATTTGCAAGTGAATCATTCGAACTCATTGAATTCAAGAGACCTTCAATTTAATCCCTAAGCTAGAAATGGGTTACGCATGAACTAGGCGTGTTCAGCTATGAAAAGGAAAAGAATGCCAACATTGGATGATTCGAACCACAAAAACTCATTCTTATACAGGTAAAACGATGATTTACATATTTGTTTAACCTATGATATGAAATTAAACAGACCTAGAAAAATCCAATTGCACGAGTTCGCTATCTATTAATATCAATGTTTATGTTTATATCGAGTTAAATGACTGTCGCCAGTCTTCGGAGGTCACCTCAATGTTTATTTAGATTGCGCCTAGACTAAAATACACACGAAATGCTGATACACATTAGCGTGTTCATGCATCGTAAATTGTTGATTTTTGACTTTTTTATAATTTTGATATATGTTTGAGTATGTTATACACCAAATATGAGAATTTGAGTCAAATCGGTGAACATGAATTTGACAGCGAATGCACCTTTAAGAACGCATAAATAACAAGACATATTTGATTGGTTTCTAACTATTATACTGCAGAACAAAATCATAAACTTTAAATGCATTTGTATATCATTGTTAATAATTAATATTCTAATAGGACATATAACTTAGAGAAAAAAGAGAGGCGAAAGATACCAGAGGGACATTCAACTCATAAGTCGAAAATAACCTGAAAACGCCATTGCTAAAAAAGAAAAAAACAACAGACAAACAATTGTACACAAAACACAACAAAGAACATGCAGGTAACATTTGGATCATAAAGGACGGGCTTTGCGACAGCTCAATCACGACTTAACATCTACACAAATACAATGACATACGGTACATTTAAGCGAAACATCTCATCTGCCATATGACGGACGAATGACTTTGATGATCCGCAATGAAAAGTGTGCCTGAACTTCTTGTACAATAGCTTAACGGATTGTTGTATCATTGTGAATGTACAATATCAAAGATAAATGGTATACTAGCAAATGATTACGTCGAAACACTTAATAACTCACCTTGAGAAAAGAGATATCATCTTTTGCCTTGTTCTTTATCAATTATTCATTATCAAACTGGATGAAACAAAAAGATCAACATTGATTGGAAAAACGAAGCAACACAAAAACTAAGTACTTGTTTTGTTACTGATTATTTCCCTAGTATGACGAAGATATCCTTGCCACTTTTTAACTTTTTTTTAATATAAAACCAGAAAGATAATGCTCTTTTTACAGCAATATTACATTTATCAAACTGTTAAAGATGCATACGACGTACCTTTAACAGATTGTGTTGCAAAATAAAAACAGCTTAACCTGTACATATACATGTTCTATTATGTATTTAAGTTCAATGTATATATATTTGTGATCGTCGTTTCCTTATATGCTTTGAATCGATTATATTTTGTCTATTTGGAAATTTCCAATTCTATTTTTATCCTTGACATGAAATCTGATTTTTGTCACGTAATGTATATTACCACTTACATGTAAATTACATGTCGTTAAAACTATTAGAAACCGAATACTAAATAGCGTTAATGTATTTTTTATGTGTATACGTGTTGAACAAGAGAAAATCTGGAGAGGCATTCGTAAAACTTATCAGATCCTTTGTAGGTGGGAAATGCTAGGATAAACAATACCAAATCTATAGCTAACCAGACATTTTCAATTTAAAATTTCAAATACAAGATTACTCATATTTGGCATACTACAGGTAATAAAAGTTAGAGGTTAATTCAAAATTATATTTTTAAATGTTAGATCGATTATGTATGCTTAACATGTATCAGTTGTAAACACATTAGCTGAACGTACGGAAGTGAAAATTAATAATACGATTGTATGATATCTTGTGTATCTTAATCTGCATATTGAGTTCATGTTTCACAGTAGACAGAATCTTATCGATTATCTCTCTACCAATCGCCTTATATCAGATGGTTTTGCAGGGTATGGCATCAAAGAGATGGTTTAATGCCTCTGCAACACAATCCCTTTTGCAACTGTTAGATTACAATATATTAGTCAGATCTGTCTTGTTTCAGCGGTCACCTGTCGATAAAGGTCACTTTCAGACTCTCACAAATATAAAAAAAAAGAGATGTGGTATGATTACCAATGACAACTATCCATAAAGGTAAAATGAAGTGGATGTAAGCAATTAAGTAATATAAGGATAATTAGCGTTGCTATGTTAAGTACAACTGTATATATATTGGAAATTTAAACGGTTTAAAAAAGAATAAGGAATTTCCTATTTATAAAATGCAATGTGAAAAGTAAAACGACCAAGGTCAATGTCTGTCATATGTAAACAGCTACTTACATGTAATAGTTTTATATCAATAACCTACGGCTCATAGTCAATTAACAACAAAAAGAAATAAGCAAGATTCTTAATTGTAAAATATAAACTAAATGTGTTCGATGGTTTTATTAGAGTTTTTTTTTTTCATTTGTTTCTAGAAAGACCTAAGACACAATTAAAAGCCGAAATCATTAACAGGGTCGAGAAAATACAAACAGACAAGCAGCGCCTGTTCAAATAAAGTGATTACAATAACTATGAAACAAACTTGAAGAAGCAGAATATTCAGATAATTATCTAGTCAATATATAAGAAACTCCCTGATACGTGTACAATGTACTTTATTTCAAAATAGTATTCTTGTCAATGTGTTCCTTGTTATGTTGCTGTTTCAAGAAATGTCTGTACCACCTATCTAAGTCATATCCACTTAATTTGATGTATATATCCTATCAAAAATGTTACACTATTAACAATAGATCATGCACGCACATACGCCATTACATCATGGTGTTTTTTATATCAAGTTTTGTATAGCTTAAGTGTTTTGACTTAGATTTAAATAGATTTGACATGGTATTATCTTTCAATTGATTCATGGACATAATTTCCACAGTTAGTTATTAAGGGGAAAAAAAAATAATATGGTAACACAAACATACTATCAACAATTTTAATAATTCTCATAACTACTCATTACTATAAAATTAAGAAGAACTATAAAAATAATAAAACCAAGCAAGTCATTGACCATGTCAAAAGACACTTGTGAAACGTGGAAGTATTTGACGAATCTTTATAATCCAATTGGTTTATGTCGTTCTTCCACCAGACGACTGTTGTTGTGATGAGATTTAAGGTCCCTCATCAGGACCGTTTTCCAATAGGTTTTCTTCCTAGCTGAAAAAAATGTATATCAGAAACGAAAACGTTCATACACATAAATCATAAAGAAACTCAGATAATATTTATATTACAATTCGAAGTATGTCAAAGTAAGGGAAAAAGTTCAAAACTCCTGTATCAGTGAAAGCACTGTTTGTAATCGCATTTGCATGTTTATTAACGATACATTCCACATTGTGTGTTTTTTTTTATCGTATTTTTGCTAAAAAAAACAGATTTGTATTAAGTACGTTGTACATCCTATTGATATATGTGGATTTTGTCAATGAATAAAAACTAAGTAGCATTTCACATAGATTATCTTTAATGTCAATTCGTTTAAGAGTTTAAAATGTTGTATTTAAATATGCGAGATGAAACTTTATTTTAATGGAACGCACACAAACATTTTGGCAAACCAATAACTCCGCTTTTCCTCATGAACATAATGGAATACTTGCATCAATATGAATGTACATTGTCCTCATCTGTAAAGGTAACATGCTTTACTGATAAATAAGGATGTTCAAACAATAAGTAACTCACCTTTACCTCCATCAGATAATTCATCTTTTGCCTTGTAATTTATTAAGTATTCATTCTGGAAGAAACATGTGATCAACATTTAGAATATTCTCATCATTTGATTTACAGTAATCGTTTATGTCTTCTATACTTTCCTACTATTGTTTTACATAGACAGAGCTATACTTTCCTACTATTGTCTTCATAGAAAGAGATATACTTTCCTACTATTGTCTTACATAGAAAGAGCTATATTTTTCTACTATTGTCTTACATAAAAAGATCTATACTTTCCTACTATTGTCTTACATAGAAAGAACTATACTTTCCTACTATTGTCTTACATAAAAAGAGCTATACTTTCCTACTATTGTCTTACATAGAAAGAGCCATTCTTTCCTACTATTGTCTTATATAGAAAGAGGATTTTTTTTATATTTGACGTATGTTGCAACATTTAAGGCGTTTATCAAATAATCAGTAGCCTGATATAAAAATACCATTTGTTTTCAAGTAATAAAATCTCAAATTTTATCTAGATATAAATATTGACCAACTCCGCGGGCTTTAGTTTCAATTCTATTAAATGTACGTGCGTTGTGCTGAATGAGAACTAAACACAACAGTCAGAACAACGTACCGTAAACTACGTAATCACTATACTGGAATTTTGACATTTCTCATAATGCTCACTTATTATTCATGTTATTATTCAATTCTACAGCAGCCTTCATGTAGTGACTAATCATATGACAACCAACATAGATATTATATAAACAAATATAACAAATCAACAAATGCAAAACGATGAATTGAGCTGTACCGATCACATGAAAGAACCTAAAAGAACCAGTGCAGAACACATTCCGATTTGTCCTTCCTTTTACAAAACATTCCACAACACTTGAATCAAAATTCTAAATCACAATTGACGAATAGCCGCCACAAATGACGAATAGCATTATAAGATTTTGATTTTCATATATTTCGTAAGATCACAAACTACTTATGAGACGTTATTTGTCAATTATATCATTCAAGTTAGTTAATTACATCAAAGTGGTGAATATAGTTCCTTCAGTTTGGCTGATTGTCATTTGACTGTGCAGCTGCATACTGCTTATACAATACCCCTTTGGGATTATCTTGAATTTCAGTATTAACTTATTGGAACTAGTATTTACAAAGGAGTCATTGAAGTGATAAACATTACATCTTAATGTTTAGGAGAAGCTAAAAATCAATTCAATGAACAGGCGATAAAATATTGGGATAACCTTATATCCACGTGCATAATCAAAACAGAGCAATACACTTTTTATTACTGAGTAATGCATGAGTAAAACTATAACGTTCTTGTCACTTTGGTACTGTTTAACTGCTGTAACTAAATAAAATTAAAAAAAATTAAAAAATATAAAACTTTTTTAAAAGAAATTGTTAAATTTATCAAATAGTTCAGGATGTTCAAAACTTACCTTCAAACAGATAATGTGGCAAAGTAAAAACAGCAAAACGTGTAATAAATACTTGTTGTCTAATGTATAAGTGTGGTTCTCGGTATATTCAGACTTATGTGATTATTCTCTTTTTCTACTTCGAATCGATTATATGTTGTATATTTGAAAATTTTCGATTCTATTTTTATCTTTGATATAAACTATGATTTTTGTCAGGGTAATGTATACATGGTATACTTACTGTCACTTGCTTTTATATTACCTGTTGTTTAACTATCAGAAACTGTATACAAATGTGGAAATAATTTCCTAATTCATATTTTCATATACATCTTTAAAAAGCAAATTTCTGGACAGGCAGTCGTATAATTTAATCATATCCTTTGTTGGAAATAAATTAAGGATACCTGGTACCACTCTAAAGCTTACCATATATTTCCGAATCTACATAAAGATTAAAAAAAAAGTTGGTTATTATTTGACATACAACAGATAAATGTAGTAGCTGAGCTTTAATATAACAAATTTAAGTTTCAACTGCATATCACTGAACTAGTTAATTAATAACACCACATTAGCTGTAAGTATGAATAGGATAATACAAATGTTTGATATCTCGCACACTCGATTCATGAGTTCGTCTTCTGAATTTTGATGTGGGTTTTTGATTTACCCATTTTTCTCAGGTATAGTTATATTTATTAGATACATCGAAAGTAAAACTTTTTTAAATAAAATAAAAATGTGTTTAATACAATTTTGCTCACAACTAGCTTTTTGTAAATGTAGATAGTAAAGAGCATGGTGGTTACTTAACCTTAACGTTAAAAAGTCCTATTGTAAGTACTAGTCAATAAACTTATTTGTCAAAATGTATGACACTGGGACATAATTGATTCATAGAAAAGCGTACATTAATGCCACTTGATAACGTTTTCCAAAGGTTTCTTTATCTGCCATTATCAGAATATGTGAGTTTGATATTTGTTGTAAAATTTAAGATTCAACGCATTAACCAGGTTCAGTTCAAGTCTGCTCAAATTACTGATAAAGCTTTATTTGGAAATCTGTACGTGCATTAATATATAAGAGCTGAAGTATTACCCAAAAATAGTATGTGCTGAGATACACAATGTCTGTTCACTTTTCCGGAACTTGTTTTGCTGTTGTTCAGTCCATAATCGTAAATGTTGGGTAGCCTTGCACTGAAATTGCGCGAACATATAGTGCCGAACACTTCAACCAAACACATAGGACCTCTGATTTCTAAACACCTGTTTTACGGATAGCAAGAAAATTATTGTCCACACCAATTATTTGAATGTCATTCCGACCATTTCTTACACGGTTTAATATTGTAAACTATTTTGCATTTCTGTTTTGGATGCACTTTGTATATAGTCAAAGCGGGTTTTTAAAGCATACAGTTGCATATTATTCTGTCGTTATCGTAGTGTTATGTCTAGTTCGTTAATAAAGGGGGAACTTATTAAAACTAAAAACTATTAAATTACCATGTCTGAAGGTATAACATCCATATAAATAAAACGATATCAACAGAAAACACTCCCTTGGAAAGAAAATTAACTGTACATAACAACACTCCAGAGAAGTAGCATAGTTTATATGTCAAGGATAAGTAGCGTTACTATTTAAGTACAACTGTGTTTATTGTAAATTTAAAATTGAGATTTGGGAATTCCTTTTGACAATGGGAAAGTAAAACGACTAAGGTCTATGCCTATATTTGGGTCCTCAATGATCTTCACTTCATACTATATTTTACCTTTTTAACTTTTTTATTCGACCTTCACTGATGAGTCTGATGTAGACGAAGTGCGCGTCTCGTGCATACAAATTTAATCCTGGTATATGTGATGAGTTTATCTGTCATATGTTACTTGTTATTATTTATTTTTATATCCATAACCTATTGTTTATTGTCTATCAACAACAACAAAAATTTACCAGACTCTCGAGTGTAAAAAGAAAATAAGTGTGTTAAATTGTGTAACTAGTCTAGAATGACAGACGACCCTATTAAAAGCCGAAAAAATAATAAGGTAAATACATAACAATCTATCGTTACTTATTACGCATATTTGACTATTTACTCCTATGCCAGTAACGACAAATCATTCAACAACGTTAATGTTGTATTATGTTTAAATCTCTCATGTGCCTTCTTTTTAAAATGAAGAAATGATACATCAATACTGTAAATGCGTGTTATTGAAACTATTGAGCGTTTGTTTACTACTACATGTAACAATGGCATCTATCTGGAAATTCCCATACACTATAATCGATTGAAAATCCCTGATAAAACACTTAGAGTGACCTACAATTTCATGTCGTTCCACGATTTGTTTCATCGATCGTTTAAAAACCAATTGACTTACTTGTTTGACATATTTGTTTTCATATATTACTAAATGCGACCTAGTTTATCTTGGATTTCCGACAAATGTCATTCTCAGACAAAATAATCTATTCATAGTTCATAGTTATTATCAATACATAGTGCACAACAGTTAATGACTGCCGATAGTGTATTGATCATAGCTGGGTTTTTTTCAATTACAAATTACAATATAATTTTTTGAAAGTATCAGACCATAAATTTTCTAAAAGACAAAATATTAGATTTGTATATTTTGCTTTTCTTGTTGTTGTTTATGGGCCCATTTGATTAGAATCTTTTTTATTGTAATTTATATACAATGTTGTCCCGCAAAAAATTAAAACACGTAATAAATTTCATGCGTCCAAAGCGCTTTTCTGGATTTACTTTCACCAGGAAAGCTCAATGCCGAATATTTGAAAGCCAAGCATGTATAATAACCGAAACAGTTGAAGACCTGTATGATCAAAACGAACCTAAACAAAGTAGCCAAGCCATCTTATATCAACTTTGCTTGAGGAGTTGAAACCTTAGTTTCTTTCTAATTTCAAAATTTAAAAGTGACAATATTAGAAAGGTTTGCTATAAATCATGTCAGTACCGAAGTACTGACTACTAACTGAGCTGATGATACCTTCGGAGACTGGGAGTCGAAATGACACTGTTACAGGGTTCTTGCATTTCGACTTCAAAATGCAATACTTATCACTTAAACAAAAGCGTTGAACTTTCTCTAAGGAAGTGGCTTCCATTGGCATATGTAATGCTATTGTTGTTTTCCAAGTACTGCCACAAATATGTAGTTCAATAAATATATTCGTAACTTTTAGGCCTGTTTTCTCGATGATTAAAGTATGTGTTACTATTTAAAAAAAAATGTTTGTTGTAAAATGTCACATACTTAATTTTAACGTAACACAATCGCTTTCTTGGTTGACTTATTAAGACAAAACGTTGTTTTAATTGGTAAGATTTAATAATCCTAATTAAATAGACCAATCTCTGTTGTCGTAAATTCATTAAAATTTCAGATTTCTAGATTTAAACATATATAAAAATGAAAGGATGTGGTATGATTGTTAATGAGACAACTCTCCACAAGAGACCAAATGACACAGAAATTTACAGCTTTAACAAATTAACAAATCAACAAGATATAACACAGATTTGTTTCAGATTTAAATTGTATTATTTATGACAAATTCACTCTTTTTTACCACGTGCAATGAAAAAGGTTGCAAAACATGTAAAGTTATTACTATTTTGTCTAGTTATGTTGTTATTTGACATCCCTAATTCTGCGTAATATAGTATTGTACAGTTTTTGACACAAATGATACTTGTAAAATGTCACATACTTAATTTTAACGTAACACAATCGCTTTCTTGGTTGACTTATTAAGACAAAACGTTGTTTTAATTGGTAAGATTTAATAATCCTAATTAAATAGACCAATCTCTGTTGTCGTAAATTCATTAAAATTTCAGATTTCTAGATTTAAACATATATAAAAATGAAAGGATGTGGTATGATTGTTAATGAGACAACTCTCCACAAGAGACCAAATGACACAGAAATTTACAGCTTTAACAAATTAACAAATCAACAAGATATAACACAGATTTGTTTCAGATTTAAATTGTATCATTTATGACAAATTCACTCTTTTTTACCACGTGCAATGAAAAAGGTTGCAAAACATGTAAAGTTATTACTATTTTGTCTAGTTATGTTGTTATTTGACATCCCTAATTCTGCGTAATATAGTATTGTACAGTTTTTGACACAAATGATACTTGTAATATTAATAATTCCAATTTGCAGTCAAAATTTTAAACTAAGATAAGTAAATGCACCCACTCATATGTGTACATTGTACATGTATATACATATCCCAGAATGAAGATTTTCTAAAAATTATAGTAGTTTTGCACTGAATCTGATAAATTCAGGAAATCTTAAAACGGACGATGATGTTCAGCCATTTATATACTGAGAACGGAAACGTGAAGACTATATTTTGATAAAGAAATTCATGTTACCTTATATACCCTTTCTATGATTCCATCAGGTCCCAGTATCATACATTTATACAATTAGATATGTTGATTGAATCGTTTAAGTACTTTGAAAAGTAAGACCTTCAAAAGTTTAATTCTGTACCCATCATGTTCCTTGCAGTCCAAATTTAAATAAAGTTAGTTTGTTTAAACATTCTAAATTTAATTTAAATTCAAATATGTTTACCTTCGATGCATAAAATATTTATATATATATATATATATTCGGAAAACGGATTAATAAAAATTACAAAAAATACATTTAGAACACTTACCTAGAACATCGACAGCCCATTCATGATGATCAACCAACACAAATGACATGATTTAAAATATATATCAGCTACTGTTGATATTTGTTAAACATATTCACCCTAAACGATCGAATTGGTAAAAACAGCTGTTTATAATTTACACTTGTTGTGTCGTTGTTTTCAAAACTATAAATGGTTTTTTGCATTATAATGTACCCCCAAAAATATGGGAAAGTTGAATCAAATGTATTGCGCCTGTTAAGATGAAGATTATAAGGCATTATGTCTTACACAATATGTAAAAAACGTCTTTAACTCATAGTTTGACTTGAAACAAATAATGTGAAGTTCTGTTAATTTATTGCTACACTAAAGGGACATTGTGTAAAAAAATAGTGATGCAAAACTTTTCATAAC